ATTTGTGCTTTGTGACATGGTGCATTATCCTGCTAGAAGTAGCCATCAGAGGATGGGCTCAGGTAGGCAGTGGCATTTAAACGATGCCCAATTGGCACTAAGGGGCCTAAAGTGTGCCAAGAAAACATCCTCCACACCACCACCACCAGCCTGCTCATTCTGTTTACGCCACATTCTGACTCTACCATCTGAATGTCTAAACAGAAATCGAGACTCATCCGTCCAGGCCACCTTTTTTTAGCTCTTGCAAATTGTAGCCTCTTTTACCTATTTGTAGTGGAGATGAGTGGTACAGTGGGGTCGCACTTTTGTAGCTCCAGACCAAACATGAAACAAAAGTATGGCGTGGCATGAACTAAAAAACATAGAACAAGATAAAAACATAGACAAGCCTCTTACCAACAGAGGTTACAGTGAAACAATACTTGGTAAAGACATATGGCAAACATGAGGGCTTAAATACACAGACTAATTACAAGACAAGGGACACCTGTAAACAATGATCAGACAATTAACCAATGACAAGACACATGGCAGGATCACATGACAGGGAACAAGACAGAAAGATGACAAACAGGGAACAAGACAGAAAGATGTTGAAAAATGTGAAAAACATTATCTCCACACAAACTTGAATCTGCAAAAACGCTGACCGCGTACACATGCATATTACGTGTTCAGTCTATAGGTACGTTTGAATATATATGTGCGCATGTTTGTAGTCTTTCTTTACAAATTGACCTCAACACATTACTTGTCTGGCCTTAAATTCATAATACAGAAATTTTGTCGTTTCTGTGTATCCACGTGAACCGGAATCATTTTGACAGTGTTCAGAGAATCTGTACAGAGGTAAAGCGAAGGAGGCCTTCATAGGGGAGAGACTAGTTGACACTTCAGGACTGCATTTTCGTTGTGTCCAGGCGCTTGTCCTTCATCAGATCTGGATACAGCCTGGATCCGGCAGACTCCGGTAAACCTCAGGATGAACAGAGTGACTAATATTAGCGAAGACACCATTCTTCTTGTAACGAGTACATCAGGATTTATGGGAACTGTTTCCTATTCCGGCTGACCTAATCTATGCAGCCTAACATTGAATTCTAGAAGTTGATAATGTGTTATGTGTATGCTAGGCCAAAGAGATGTGTTTTAGTCTAGGTTTAAACTGACAGAGAGTGTCTGCTTCCCAGACAATGTTTGGAAGACAGTTCCAAAATTCTGTGGCTAAATAGGAAAAGGAGTCAATTTTGATATTCTAGGTATTATCAACTGGCCGGAGTTTTGAGATCGCTATAGACGTGAAGGACTATAATGCGTTAAGAGCTCGCCTAAGTACTGCAGAGCTAAACCATTTAGTGCTTTGTAAGTAATCAGAAATATTTTCAATCCTTGAAAATTCACACTTTAATGTACATCACCTTCTCATAGAATACAGTATGTGTTTGTTATATCCATCTGAGTATAAATGGACACAAATGGCAAAGCCCTTGTCTAACCACACTTGAGACAGAGTCATAAATAGTCTCAACAGAGAAATTTCCCGCTTGGAACTTCCACCTTTTGCTGTCCTGGGTGGCCGCACCAGGCCACAGGGCAGCAAGGCCTTGGCCCACAACCAGCTGGAGACAGATCACTCCCTCAACCACAACAAAATCAAGGACAAAATCAGGAGTTCTGCACAATTTCTTCATTCAATGCAGAAGAAGTCCATCACAACGCCAGCCATCAACTGTTCCGGCTTCCTCCCTTCTCCTGGTTGCTCTGTGTGGCATCTCTGGCCCAGGGCCGGCAGGCCACAATCTGAACTCCAGCCACGTGCTCATGGAGAGAGAGAGAACTTTCAACGAGAACAACGAGGATTGTCATCTACCACTCTCTAGCAGCCTACCACTGAGCCTGACGTGACGTCACATCCAATCAAGGTCTCACCGCGTCCTAGCCCGCCAGAATGGGCGTGGGTTAGCGTATATAAGCAGGGCTCGGAGGCTGTTTCTCTGATTTTCATCTCTTCATCGAAGCTACCTGCATCGCTGGATCCTGACAAGCCACCGCTACCGTCGAAACACCGACAAGCCATCTAGGACGTGGTACCAAGTCTGCAGCTCAGGCTCTGGGGAGATGCATGGCCTCGTTGACTGCTGACCTTTGGCTGACGCTGACTGACATGAGAGAGTCTGAGCGATCTGTTTTCCTCAACGCTCCTCTCTCCCACACTGGTCTCTTCAGCCCAGCAGTGAACGGGACCGCTTTTTTGAAGTTCAGAAAACGTCACAAGCCATGAATCTGTTCCTGTCTCGTCGTGCTAGCTCCGCTGCAGGTCGCCTACGTAACCAGATACCTGCATGAGCCACCACACAGCGCCCAGCTCAGCCCAGACAGTCCAGTCACTCTTCGCAGCAACAGGGCGGTCGCCCTAGATCGCGCTCAGTAACCGCAGCAAACCGCACATGGGCAGCGACCCAAGATCTTGCTGAGGCCTGAGCATGCAAATTCCTCCTAGCAACAGCAGGAGAAATAAGACGGTTGAGTCTCGCTGCGGCCAGACCAACGTCAAAGCTTCTCGCCCTGACAGTCCCCTTAACACAGGCTACTGCAGTGGATCATTTAGCAGCCAACGAGTCGAGTTACACGAGTTACACAACCTGCTCGCCTGAACACAACCACACAACCGCTGTTTTCACGGCGACCCAGAGAAATCTCATAAAGAGCATACTGTCTGGTTATCCGGCTCACGCCGACTGTGTTCACACCTGCGGTACTTCGGCTGGGTTTGCTCCGCATGCGCCCACACTGCAACGCTGGCTGGCCGCTCGTGTGTCACACCAAGCTTGGAAGTCAGGCTGTGAGCGGATCAGAGTAACTCAGAGCTGTGTACAGTTCTGCAGCCCTGGTTAGCGGCCGACTGAAACCAGCGGGGAGTGATTTTGAGAGCTGTCTCATACCGAAAGGTCAACTCGATGGACGCATCCAACTCGGGTTGGGGCGCTCTCCTTGAGGGCAGACCAGTTTTTGGCTTGTGGTCAGACCGGGAAAAACTCCTCCATATAAGCTGTCTGAAGATGATAGAGGTCGAGAATGCGCTTAGACGTTTCCTCCCATTCATTCAGGACCACCATGTTCTAGTTCGCTCGGACAACATGTCTGTAGTGTCCTACTTGAATCGCCAGGGCAGTGTCAGATCCAGGAATCTCTGCAATCTTGGTAAATTGGTATTTCAGGTATAAAAGGCGAATTAACACTCAAACAAAACAGTTGAATACAAACATTCAAATTAAACACATTTCTAGTTTTAGTGAGTGAATGAAAAAAGGGAAGTCTCAGTTTTAATTGATATTGTATTGTCATCTATTAAGGAAAAAAAACAACAACAACAAAACAACAACAACATATAAAGTGCAAATTTTAGCAATTTGTTCCTCTCCAGAGTTCAATCTGTCTAACTAATGAGCAGTGGACTTCAAATGACTTTCCTGAAGTAAACGTGATTTTGTTTTTTATCAGCTATTGTTTATGTCTTCGCAGTAACACTGCAATTACATAGAATATTATGATTGTATTGCCTGTGATGGATCGGTCACCTGTGCAGTGTTTAGATTATTTACAGTATAGTTTCAAAGGTAAGAGAGTAAATGTATGTAGATATATTACTGTAAACGGTCTCCCTCCAATGGAAAAGCAGTGTATTACAGTTTTTCAAAAAATGCTTACACTTTTGAAACTGTGGCTCCATTTCTATAAACTCAACACACAAAACCACAAAACAAGCTACACAAGATGCAAAACATCCCACATCTATTGCAAAAGCAAACCCTTAATTCAAAACTTTTTGAACTCTTCTAAACATACTATTTATTTGAATTAACTCTTCAGAAACAAAATGATTAGGCCAACATACACGCCAAACAACATACAGATGAGAAAAATGTAAAACATTAGGCCTACTAAATTGTGTCTTGCTTGTTCGGTGTGCAGTGGAGTGTACAGGAGTTGTACAGGAGTTCAAAGGTGTAAAAATATCAGTCATATCATCAGTAATTGAGTGTGGCATTTGAATAGTAGTGTTTCTCAAATTAAACTAAACTCTTAAGAGCTGTTTGTTTTGGATGAAGTGTCTAGAGAGAACTATGTTTAGAGTTTTGCAAAAAGTTTGTTTATAGCAAACTGAGTTTAAAGCACATAATGTGTTTGTAGAAGCTACCTTACGAAAAAGAAGTTTATTCAAGTGTGCCATTAGTATACTTCTTTTAAACTAAAATTAAGAAAGACACTTTCAGTTTATTTTTCCTGTACTTCTCAGAAGTATACTATATGTACTTCTCAGAAATATACTTCAAATTACACTTAAGTGTACTTGACTTATACTGAGAGAAAAGCAAGTATATTTGTCCTGTTCTTGTACTCAACCTTTTGATCCAGAAATACTTAAAAGTATAATTAAGTATTCAAAGTATACTTGTATAATTATTACAGTAAAAAAGTAAACTACTAGTATACCCATAAATTCACTTGCAGTACACATGAGATACATAATTATGAACTAGTTGTGCACTTACTGTTACACTTATAGTACACTTAAACATATACTTGTACTATATATGTACCAAAAGTGGGCCAATTTAGTCCCAAGTGGTATTAAAATAGTACACTACTACTAGTACATAGTGACTAGTATACTACATAATGTACTTAAAAATATAGTTGAACATTACTTAAGTATACTACATAAAATGAACTTTCTGCAGACTTGGTGTGAATGGTTTCACTTGGGCCTCAAGTACCACTTCCCAATTTTTTGTGAATTTTTTTTGTAAATGGATAAAAGCCTTCAGGATCATGTAAATACTATTCATAAATAAGGGTCTCAGTGTGACAGGTCTGGAAGACCATCTTTGTTTGTCATAAATAAAATCTCACAAAGAAGACGGAAGAAGGAAGACCTTATTAATATTCGTAATTTGGCATGAGGTTTAGTTAGTCGCTAGCCGAGCTCAATCGATCTGGTCATCATGCAGTTGCAGCGTCATTGTGGGCTGTCGTTTGAATGAAGTTACAAGACACACAGATCTTCCGCATCCCAACTTAAACCCGGCATTTGGAGTAGAGCTGTTTAAAGGACAAGCAAACAGAAAGATGCCCGTATTTACAGGTGTGTTTACAGTGTGATTTGACATAAATCATAGTTAGTCTTTTAACGATAAGAGATGCGTTAGTAGAAGCAGCGCCGTTAGCATGAGACATTAGCTTCAGGCCTCAGTTGATGGTTTCTGTTTAAAAACAGAGGGAAAGCTAAACAAGAAGCAGGAATCCCATAACAAGCGTTCTGGTGTGACTTGTATTTAGGCGTTACTTTTATTTTATATGGACATTTATGATGTGAAATGTAAACGTTCAGACTTGAGTAACGTTATTAATGATGAAGCATGTTATCATGCAGGCTAGGCGGCTCACACTTTATTATAATACCTTTGAAAACTTATGGCACTTTCAATTAATAGACAGTATTTCTGAACAGTAGGTAAAGTTACAGACTTTACACTAAAAAAATATAGTTTTTGTAAAATTGGCTGTAGAACAGCCTGTAGGCTAGATTGAAATCAAAATTGATGCATCATGGCTTGTATCCATAGTTGTGCTGCAAATCTGGTGTGTTGTAGATTTACTAGTTCACTGTAATGTATTTCCAGTGATGCATTTGTTAAAGCTATATTATTTGTATATGTTTTACTGCTGTAATAACTTTCATGTGTAGCATCTCATGTGGTGGTTATGTTTTGTGTGCAGTCTCAGCTCAGTCGTGTTAATGGGGTTTCAAACAAACATATTTCAAAGAATAGTTCACCCCTGAATGTTCAGGATGTAATTAATGCTAAGATATTTGTTTTCAATATATATTATATTAGTAATTAGTTTCAAAAGACACAAGGATGAGTAGAAGATGATTGAATATTACACTTTTGGGTCACTTTTAAAGCTGTTCCCAGCTCTCTACACATTTGGGAGGTTTCCCTTATGGACCCTTTCCACATTTCCGGGGTTCTCAGAAAAAGCAGGTGTCATAAGCTGTGTTTCCATCCACCTATTTTTATGGGCATTTTGGGATATCAAATTTAATAAAATGCTGGATGGAAACGTCAAGATGCGCATATGGTTTTTGTAAGAATTATTGGCACCCCTGGTAAATATGATCAAAGATGGCTGTAAAAAATCTGCATTGTTTATCCTTTTGATATTTTCCCTCAAAAATAGAACCTTTTATAGAAGTAATATAATTTAAAGTGGGTGGAAAACATGTTGGCCATATTAATTATTGGCACCCTTTTATTAAATACCTTTTGCAACCTCCTTTTACCGAGATAACTGCTCTGAGATTTCTCCTATAATGCCTGATGAGTTTGGAGAACACCTGACAGGAGATCAGAGTCCATTCCTCCATACAGAACCTCTCCAGATTCCCAGATCCATGCTGGCGCTTCTTCTCTTCAGTTCAGCACTCATCTTCTATAGGGTTCAGGTCAGGGACTGGGACGGTTATGGCAGAAGCTTCATTTTTTGCTCAGAGACACACTTTTGTTTCTTGAGTTTGTTTTGGATCGTTGTCCTCATGGAAGATTCAACTACGGCCCATTACAAGGTATCTTTGCTATAATCCATGATGCCATGTATCTGAACAAGAAGTCCAGGACCTCCAGCAGATAAATTGGCCCACATCATTAAAGATCCAGTGGTATATCTAACCGCAGGCATGGGGTACTTTTTATCCCTGTTTGCATCAAACCCATCTACCGTGTTTGCTGCCAACAAGCCCTCTTTTAGTTTCAACTGACCATAGAACCAGGTCCTGTATGAAGGTCCAGTCGTGTCTGACAACTGAATAGTGAGGAGGATTTTTCTTGAAACCCTCCCAAACAATATGTGGTGATGTAGGGACTGTTAGATTTATTTATTGGAAAACTAATCTCTGCAATTCTCCATCTATGATCCTCTGAGAGTCTTTGGCCACTCAAACGTTCCTCCTCACCGTGCATTAGGACGACATAGACAGTTAGACACAGGTCCTCTTCATTCGTTCCAATAATTGTGGCCAACGTGTTTTGGAGAAAAACATTTATTTCATGATGTGATTTTTTTTTTTCTAAATTAAAGATCAAAAGGATAAACAATACAGATTTATTTTTACAGCCATCTTTGATCATCTTTTCCAGATTCTCAAAATAAACATAAAAAACATGTGCTCAATTGAGGCAAATAAGTGTATTATCTGCTAAGTAGATAAACGCATGAACAAGGATGGAAACCCATTTACCGAATAAATCCCTCGACTTGCGTGACTGCCTCAACAGAGGATCTGATTGGATAACCGGACTAACTACTGACCAACCACATCGCACAGCATTTCAAATGCTGCTGGTTGTTTGTGCGATGAATGAATGCAACTTTTGCTCCAATAGAAAAGAAATGCGACTTTCTACGACTTTCCAAAAGATGTAAAAAATATAGTGAGGTTTACAGCAGTCATAAGAGAGAAAGATGAAGAATTTTTTGTCACTCCCTCAGGCACTGTAATATAAAAATGTGCAGGACTGGGTGTGGAGAATCCTGGGATAGTCTGAAAACCCTTGCTTTAAAACCATACGTACTTTCTTAGAAAACAAGATGCAAAGTTTGCTACTGGGGTTTAAAGTCTGTATCTCGCTGCTCTTTGGATGTGGGATAGTTACAACAGACATTAGAGGCCAAGCTATTTGAGAATGTAGAAAAAATATACAAAGGTTTAATAGCTGCAACACACAGAGACATTTTCTTTCTGATGATGACTATCGGCAATGTGCAGATACGTAGCACTGAATAATTTATCTGTGTCACTCTTCTTTTGGTGTCTTGATTTTTCCTTCTTTTATGAATATCTTAGTGAATGTGAAATGGGGAAAGGAGAAGTTTGATGCGGTGGAGCTGAACACAGAAGAGCCGCCCATGGTGTTCAAAGCGCAGCTTTTCGCTCTAACGGGAGTTCAGCCGGAGAGACAGAAGGTCATGGTGAAAGGAGGAACACTGAAGGTACTGGCTGGAGTCTGTAACGGAGAGCTTCATATCATTTACTCTCCTCTGTTATTGCTGATATGTGACTTCTTTTACCTTTTGTTCACCAGGATGATGAGTGGGGCAATATCAAGTTGAAAAATGTAAGTATGTGGCTAAATCTTGACTTCTGGTAGATTGATTCAGAAAATGCACGTAAAGAGTCGTAATAAGAGTTCAGCAGTTTATAGTTAAATGGTGAAACACAAGATCCAAAATAGGTTATCCAACAGTACACCTTCATTTAATAATTAGTTCTGATTAGTTCTTTAATACACATTCCTAGTCTTATTGAGCGTGTTTGTTGATGGCCAAGCACGTGCTAATCTAGAACAGCAAGCAGTCGCGTGACTGACTGACTAGCGGAGCAGCAAATCGTGTGGCTGTTCAGGTTTGGGTGGACTACAAGGTTTGGGTGGTTACAGCTCTTCATAAATTTTATAAATACATTCCCATTACCACAAGTCCAGTTCAATATACAAAATGATTGCCTAGATTTATTGGTAACTTTGCACAGAAGTCTGCATTGAGCATAGATGACAAAGCTGCTCACTCATCCCTTACATTGCGAAACGAAACCACGTTTATATAATGTATGACTACAAAAAACTAAACTGTTCATAACTAAATTATATAAAATAGGCTAAAAAAGTTTTAAAAAAGAGCTATTAATTTTGACAGCCAGTTTTGATTTAGTTTTAGTCATATTTAGCTGAATTTCGAACCTGCTCACCAAACCTACTCCCTTTAGGGGTGAGCCTGGGAAAGAAACAAAGAAATCGTTAGAAGTCAGTGTACCATCAGAATCATTTTGGAACTGATATGTCTTGTTCAAAAAAATGTCCATACAGTTGCTTTAACAATTCACTACAAACATAGACTGTAAAAAAAACATGGACGTAGGTTTCTGAAGAGCATTTTTGCCTGGATAAACGAAAATGGGCAAAGAGGCGGGATTAGCTGAGGTGATGTGACGTTAGTAGTGACATCACCTGTCACTCAATGGCCACACCCTTAATTGTGCACAACTTTAATGGTACGTTCACACCAGACGGGAATAGCGCGTCAGGCGGCAATAATTTTTAATGTTAATTTGAATGCAAAGACGCGTTACGAATGAGGCGTGAAGCGCGACGCGAATACGCCTCATTCGCGCGTCAAGTTTGCGCGAATTGATCGTCTGGCGCGTTAAGCGCGAATGATTTAGTTAGTGCCATTTGTGCATTCACGCGTTTGAAGCGAATTCGCGTCTGCCCCCCGAGTTGAAAAATCTGAACTTTGCCGTGAATTCGCGCCGCGTTAACCAATCAGGAGCCTAGCTGCTTGCTCACGTGGTGAAGTGTCTGGTCATCACGTGGTGAAGTGTCACTGTCATCCAGCGCAGCTCCTGAAGCGAGCAAATGGTGAAACTAGCCAAACGGTACACCTTAGAAGGGTCCGGAGGACACAAATATACAGCGACAATGATCCCCTACTGTTCTGCTCTCCAGAGGAAATACAGAGTGGTGACTCTCTCGATGAATGCTCGGTCGACATAAAAACAATGGCCGCCAACGGATTTTGATTCTGACGCGCGCTTCAATTTCGCTTCAAACTTTTACGCGCGTCAGTTTCACTCTTGAATTAACACAAAGTGGTCAAGCGTCAAACTAGATGCATCAGGTGCGAATTTGACGCGCGATTCGCGTCCGGTGTGAACGTAGCATAAGGTTTAATATAATTTAAACCGAGGAGTTTTAAAATAATTCACTCTCCTCACAGTCATCATGAAGGGCAAAATTAGGTATACAGTCAAAACCACTTTTTGCACCAGGCTGTAAACATATATTCTTCTGCTGTAAAGTTGGACATTTTAACATGGGGGTTTATGGGATTGACTCTCTTTTTGAGCCTGTCTCTAGTGGCCAGTCGCGGAATTGCAGTTTAAGGTTGACTCCATGATTTCATGTTGACTTTAAATGTGAGTTTTCTTTGGCTTAATAGATGTTTTGATCCATGTAGGGGATGACCCTTCTGATGATGGGCTCTGCTGACGCCCTGCCTGAAGAGCCTGTCGTGCGACCCATGTTTGTAGAGGACATGACGGAGGAGCAGCTCGCGTCTGCTGTACGTGTTCAGGCCAAGAGTTCTGCCATTACAGTATTTTAGCAGGAATCAGAGAAACAAGCCAACAGCTGTGAAATCATCTCTGCTATCTGTGTCATGTTCAGATGGAGTTGCCGTGTGGATTGACGAATCTGGGCAACACATGCTACATGAATGCAACAGTGCAGTGTCTACGCTCCGTGCCTGAGCTCAAAGGCGCTCTCAGGAGGTACAGTTTAGCCATGTCCTTCATATCCAGTTCACACATGTTATGCGGTGTAATGCATCAATGTGTTTTTTGTGGTAATTCGCCTCCATATGTAGGTATTCTGGTGCCTTGCGGTCTTCTGGAGCTAACGCACCTTCCCAGTACATCACAGCAGGTGATCGAATTTCACTATCAGCTTTGAGGTTTTCTTTGATTCTTTATTTGGCCAACTGTTTGGGGTCAGTGTGTCCAAGCTAATGCATAAGATTCAAGCTGTGTAGTCTTACTGAATCCCACAGGTTTTGTGGACCGCATGTAGCTCATGTTTGATTCTTCTCCTCTCAGCTCTGCGTGATTTATATGAGTCCATGGACAAGACCTCGTCAAGCATTCCTCCTATCATTCTGCTGCAGTTCCTGCACATGGCCTTCCCACAGTTCGCTGAGAAAGGAGATCAGGGCCAGTATCTTCAGCAGGTCAGGTCACACATCTTTAGCTCAATACATTCAAGCAGAAGATGTTCAGTTTAAGTGGAACATTTTTACTTATATATATATGTGTGTATTTTCCCATTTACTCAGGATGCCAATGAGTGCTGGGTCCAGATGATGCGGGTCCTTCAGCAGAAACTAGAACCTGAAGAACTAGAAACCCCACCAGAGGCAAGGCTACTCTATTATATATATTTATATATATATTCATATATATATATTTATATACATATTTATATACATATATATATATATATATATTCATATATATATATATATATATATATATATATATATATATACTGTATATATATTCATTCTAGGGTTGTCGAAAGTACAGATATTTTGTTTACAAGTTGGTACTGAAACTTTGATGAGCATCAAAGGTTTCTATTTACAACATGTTTTTGAAGCATTGATCATTGTAGCCAATCACAGACTTATGGTGCACATGAATGCCAATCAGAGATGTTTTAGTTAGTCGTAATCCACTCAACATGCTTGTGAATCCTTTATTACCAAAAAAGTATGTAAATAAGAGATTAACACAGCTTATGACAGCTTTTTTGAACTATTTTCACAATAGGGTGCATCTTACCATGTAGAGTACACTAGGGATGCTAACGATCAATCGATTAATTGTCGATAATAATTTAATTGATAACTTATCGATCAATGATTAAGCCGGTTCATGCGCATACTAGGGGTTTCACAACTACTGATTTTTGCTAGTCGACTAGTTTTGCATAACAGTCGACTAGTCGTTAAATGGTTTATTCTAGGGGTGAATAATCATAATAATTACTAATCATAGTAAATGTCTCCACGATCTGCTTTTGGAGAAATATGGTAGTAGTATCGTGTTACAGTGCATTCTATCAGTTCTGGCGCCTCTCAACTGTACAACGCGACGTAGCCTACACATCACACTTTAAGGAATAGGTACGGGACACTGCAATTCACAAAAGTTCATTATTTGCATAAGCCTTGCCGGTTAAACATTTAATTCACGCGTAATTCTAACGTGCGCTTTCCTGAGCGCGCGGCATATCCCCGACGCTCACAGGCATTAGAAGCCTGTCAAACAGCGCCTGAATACTGGACTAATAAGTTTTATTATGCTAATACTGTTAAATACACACAATGTTTACATAAACAGAATTGGCTGTGTCTAAAGTGAAAGCAAACATTTGAGAGAAAATCTGGTGTAGGCTAATATGCGTCTATATTAAACGCGTCGCGTGCTGGTCTAAAAGCGAGAGTAGTACTCGTATAGCTATAAAGCGCACTTAAAAGCCTTTAATTTTCTCAATCCGGCCTTTTCTCAAGCCTTATAATCCGGAGCGCATTATATATGGATCAATTGCTCGCGCTTGTGTCCATCTTATGCCCGCTTTGTCACACGGCCAGTTCAACCTCGTATAAATCAGGTTATATGTGTCTCCCGCTCACGAGCGCTCTCTCTAACACACACACGAACAGACACTGCTGTCAGCAGGCTGCGAATGTAAGTTACGTGCCCGCCCCAGCGCGCTCACGCTTACTAAATAAACGCCTCACCTCCGACGCCGCGCACTCGCTGCATTCCCTTTAGCACATCTAGTGGATGCATAATGCAAACCCAGTCAAACGTTTGAAAAATGTTCTAAAATAGGTCATTGAAGGTGCGCCTTATAGTGCTTATAGTAAATAGTACTGCCGCTTGTATTTAAAGGGATAGTTAACAAAAAATATATATCTATATATATATATATGTCATCATTTTGTTTCCGACTAGTCGACTAAGGCCAACAGCGCCAACTAGTGGTTGTGACAGTCGACTAGTTGATGAAACCCCTAGCGCATACGCTCAACCACGAAACACGTAAAAAGCGAGCGCCCAAAGGTATGTTTGGGACCTTTAAGGCTAGCGTTACAACTTCTTGACTAAGTTTGCATGTGCATTCGCAGCCTTTTGGTTTGTGCAAATGTAAGTTGTAATGTTGTGTTTATTTTGTGTAGGTCTATGTATTTTTGATTGATCTCATAGAACGCGGCGGTGATCCTCAGCTTCAGCACATGCCGCTCAAACAGCAATGCGCGACTAATAATGACTATGATTTGGACTGTCATATTACATATCACAATAGAGAGAACTATATTGTAATAAATCGTTGTGAATTCATCAGGTTTAGCTGCTGTGTTTCAGTGCATCCACAACAGGAGTTACACACTCTGACAAGCACGCTTAATCTGAGGCGCCGTTGGTGACATTGTAGTCAGTATTGAGCCTACAGGCTGATAGAGGCAACCGTGGTGGACAGTCAAGGACAAGGTGTCATTCTTTCTATTACATTATGGTTGGCTCATAAATGTACAAATGAAGACTCTATCTTAAAACATTTTTTTTTAAGTAAAAACATAATAATAAAATGGTAATTTAGTTGCTAATATGGCTAACGTCTCAGGTTACAACTGTAACCTATGTTCCCTGAGAACAGGGAACGAGACAATACGTCGAATGACGCTATGGGGAACGCCTCAGGCGTGACAGGTGTCTGAAATCAAATATCAACTCACAGTAATCAGGTTGACCGGCGACAGCCCGTGCATCATCAGCTTGAATGATGAGCGCGTCAATCTGGATGTATAAGAAGGGCGCCTTGAAACCGTGACAACATCCTATCGTCTGAAGGGACTGTTGCAGGCAGGCCCCGAGGCATGGCAACGAGACGTATTGTCTCGTTCCCTGTTCTCAGGGAACATAGGTTACAGTTGTAACCTGAGACGTTCCCTTTCGAAGGGAACTCAACAATACGTCGAATGACGCTATGGGGAACGAAATACCCACTCCGCCATGCTGAGGGGAGTGCATGCCGAAAGGCAGTGACAACTGTCAGAACCAGTAATTCCAAGAAACACTGAAACCACTCACCCTATGTTACATCGGGCTGTCAGTGACAGCACTCCCTACCGGTCATAGCCCAAGCTAATGAACCAAGAAAAACCAGAACGTAATAACGTGAGTAAATCAGGGCCAGCTCAAAGGCTTTAGGACCACAACTTCAAAATAGAAGGGGTCCCTTCTAGGGAGTGTGGCTAGGGGGCCAAAGAGACCCCCAGCCAGTCACTATTCAGGAGAACACTCCTCCTGAAATGCCCCCAGGCTGGCCTGGTGATCTGTACTAAGACACACAGTCTGGCCATAGCCTGTCCGTCCAAGACAGAGCCTCTGGAAATTGCCTAGAAAAGGCATCCAAAAACTGAAGGCCCGCGAAGCTGGCGGAAACCATCGAGTTTCGGATCACAGAGACGGGATCCTCCGGAGAGTGTGACTCAACCTCGAACCAATGGGAATCGTACACTCAATCCACGAGTTTCCACCCAGTGCTCGCTTTTGAGCACTGAGGAAGTAAGAGAGGGATCAAAAATCAGGAAGGTCAAAGAGACCTAAGACCTGATGACCCCATGTGTGGGGAGCTCCGATACATGAGGGCTCATGTCAGGAAGGCCGTACGTTGTGCGGCCTGAAACCCAACGACCACAGCATGTGGAAGCTCATCCTTCAGGAAAGCCAGAGGCTAGAAACCTGACAGACCCACAATGTTGGGCTACCTCGAAAAAGGTCTAGTCAGACCTAAAACCACAGTTGTGGGAGATAGCTTGAACAAGGGAAGTGCCTGTCGTAATGTATTGCGACAAAGACACATCTACAGTGGGACCCAAAGTGAAGAACCGGAGTCTGAACCACATAAGAAGGGACCGAAGCATACCGCGCGTGACCCTCACCATATGAAATGGATTTTAAAAACTGCACAAGACATCTCGTCAGGTGACTTACCACAATAATAGGTGAAGTATGGGTTTGTGTACTTCACTCTGAATTCAGGAAGGCCTGTTGAGGCCTGTAACCTGGCGTCCACAGTGTGTGGGAGCTCATGGCCAGGAAGGCCTGGTAAGGCCTGTAACCTGGCGACCACAGTATGCGGGAGCTCGTAACCTGGCGACCACAGTATGTGGGAGCTCATAACCAGGAAGGCCTAGTGAGGCCTGTAACCTGGCGACCACATCCGGTGGGAGCTCGTACTCAGGAAGGTCAGTGAGACCCAGCCTGGTGTACCTGAAAAACCACACCAAGTGGGAGCTACTTCCAGAAGTTAGCTCTTAAGAACTCTTAAAGTGGGACCCGAGGAAAGACCGGGGTCTGAGCCACATAAGAAGGGACCGAAGCATACTGCGCGTGACCCTCACCATAAGAAATGGATTTTAAAAAGTGCACAGGACATCTCGTCGGGTGACTTACCACAATAATAGGTGAAGTATGGGTTTGTGTACTTCACTCTGAATTCAGGAAGGCCTGGTGAGGCCTGTAACCCAGCAACCACAATATGTGGGAGCTCATAACCAGGAAGGCCTGTTGAGGCCTGTAACCTGGCGACCACAGTGTGTGGGAGCTCATGACCAGGAAGGCCTGGTAAGGCCTGTAACCTGGCGACCACATTGGGTGGGAGCTCGTACTCAGGAAGGTCAGTGAGACCCAGCCTGGTGACCACAACCTGTGGGAGCTTACTCCACCAAGTGGAAGCTACTTCTTCCAGAAGTTAGCCAGAGAAGGGCGTCCCTGTAGCCAGTGACAGGACGCCACTTAAAGTGGGACCCAAGGGAAGACCGGGGTCTGAGCCACATAAGAAGGGACCGAAGCATACCACACGTGACCCTTACCATACAAAATGGATTTTAGAAAGTACACAAGACATCCCGTCATGTGATTTACCACAATAATAGGTGAAGTAGGGGTTAGTGTACTTCACTCTGAATTCAGAAAGGCCGAACTTGAGGCCTGTAACCTGGCAGCCACAACAAGTGGGAACCCATAATCAGGAAGGCCTGACAAGGCCTAACACCCGATAGTCCCAATGCATGGGGAGCTCACATTCAGGAAGGCCGCTGAGGCCTTCAGCCTGACATGTGAAGACTCACCACTACAACTTAGCGACCACGAAAAGTGGGGGTTTCACATTCAGGAAGGCCTGGTGAAGCCTGCAACCTGACATGTGACAACTCACAACCAGGAAGGCCAATGAAGCCTGAAGCCTGGTGACCACAGAGTGGGAGCAAAGTGCTCAGGGAAGGTGGTGAGGCTGTAGTCTGGCTACCGCATCATGTGGGAGCCCACATTCAGGAAGGCTGGGTGAGGCCTGTAAACTGACTACCACAGTATATGGGAACTCATAACCAGGAAGGCCCCTTTGAGGCCTGTAACCTAGCAACCACAATGTGTGGGAGCTCATCACCAGGAAGGCCTGGTGAGGCCTATAACCTGACCACCACAGAAAGTGGGAACTCATAACCAGGAAGGCCCCTTTGAGGCCTGTAACCTAGCAACCACAATGTGTGGGAGCTCATAACCAGGAAGGCCTGGTGAGGCCTTTAACCTGGCGACCACAGTACGTGAGAGCTCGTATCCTGGTGACCACAGTATGTGGGAGCTCATAACCAGGAAGGCCTGGTGAGGCCTGTAACCTGGCGACCACAGTATGTGGGAGCTCATAACCAGGAAGGCCTGGTGAGGCCTGTAACCTGGCGACCACAATGTGTGGGAGCTCATAACCAGGAAGGCCTGGTGAGGCCTTTAACCTGGCAACCACAGTATGTGGGAGCTCATAACCAGGAAGGCCTGGTGAAGCCTGTAACCCAGCGACCACAGCATGTGGGAGCTCATAACCAGGAAGGCCTGGTGAGGCCTGTAACCCGGTGACCACAATCAGTGGGAGCTCATAACCAGGAAGGCCTGGTGAGGCCTGTAACCTGGCAACCACAGTATGTGGGAGCTCCCACAGATGTCTCTCCGTGGCCACCATAGCACCGACAGAACAGCAGCTTGCTTGGTGGCCCGGAGTCCCGCAACAGATCGGTCTGGTAGGCCTGAGGACCACAAGGGCGTGCAGAACCGCACCTGCCTGACCTGCTGCCGTGTACGCTCTGTCATTCAAGCATGAAGATGTCTTGAGCAGCTTGGATGACAGGGTCAGAGCTCTTAGTGAAGAGGACCAACCAGAGACGAGATAGTTAGCCAACGTCTCGTCCACTGGCGGCCTCGACACTTATCCGTTCTCCACGGCTCCCTCCACAGCAGCGAAACTAGCCCGCTGATGCAGATAGAGACGTGAGGAGAACGGATTCTTCCATACCCTCTCGATCCCAGCGTGGAGATCGGAAACGAATGGAAGGCTCATCCGGGCTGGTGGCTTATGGGTGGGGAGGAACCAGCCATCCAAAATACCATGAGCGGGTTCCTCCCAGACGCGCCTCCACTGCAACAGCAATCTGTCTGAGGCGCGCCCCATAATGTCAACCAGCTCAGCGTACACTGGGCAGGAGGGCTGAAATGATTCGGTCTCAACCAAACTGACATCCTTTTCTATATATATATATATATATATATATATATATATATATATATATATATATATATTACAGCCAACTCCTGCCCTGCCCAAAGAGAACAGTTACAGATTCACCAAAGAGAGAGAGCGCTCATTTTCTCTCTTCTTAGATGTTCAACATTAATCTGTAACTCACCCTCGTCAGCTGGTAGATCATCCGCGAGGTTAACGCCCCTCTCCCGATAATCTGCCAGCTCCATCTGAAAGCTCCACGAGCTCAACCGCCACTGAGCCTCAGCCCGAGCGGGAACCGGAACCGCGGGGTTCAGATGCCGCGCCCACTTCCCTCGAGAAGTGGGTCAGACGAGAGCAGAGAGTTCTGAAAGGAAAAACTCTCAGTTCGCGCAAAAAACTCCCTCGAGAGCTTCCCGCGAATGCTCTTCTCTCAGGCAGAACACGCACAGATCGTGTGAATCCTCCGGTGTCAAATATCTGGACACAAGTCGGCACACTCGCGCAAAGTGTTTCTCCACGTCTCTGCGCGTTTAATCGTTGATACTATCACACAGACAAACAGTCCCTGAAGACGAAAAGATGTTGTCACGGTTTCAAGGCGCCCTTCTTATACATCCAGATTGACGCGCTCATCATTCAAGCTGATGATGCACGGGCTGTCGCCGGTCAACCTGATTACTGTGAGTTGATATTTGATTTCAGACACCTGTCACGCCTGAGGCGTTCCCCATAGCGTCATTCGACGTATTGTTGAGTTCCCTTCGAAAGGGAACAACCGTGAAATCTCATTGGTACCGACTACTGGAATACCGTGACAACCCTAATATATTCTCTTTCATTACAGAAATGCAGAGAATTTAAAATAAAATGGGTCTTTATCATATTTGTCTGGAAGCTGAAACACTATTTTGCAAATAATGTATATATTTTTCTCTGTTTGTTTTTGGTGGAACAACAGACTGACAGTGATAGTGGAGCTGCTGCCGCCACAAAAAAGAAGAATTTCATCGATCAGTATTTTGGTGTTGAATTTGAAACTACGTATCCTTTGAAAAGTGCCTGTTGTACATGTCTATATCAGCATGTGCTCTCTCAGTCAGTGATTATGTGGGCTGCGGCTGTTCTTACTTTAATACACTGCTTTTCTTCAATGTTTACTAGGGTTGGGAATCGAGAATTAAATACTTAAGGTCAAGAATCAGATACATGTTCCTCTTATCGATTACTTTGTGTGCATCTTAATATGCTTCCAAAATGAGCGCACAGAAAGTCACCTCTTATACTGTATACAGCGTGATACTGAGTTCCTTCCGCATCTTTTTGCACTTGAATGGACAAATACACACAAAAACGTCAACAGATCCTCAAACACAGTAGCTTATGTCTTAAATAAATGTAAACATTTGACAGAAATGCACGTTTAACTGTGCAGCTCTTAAAGTGATGGCAGCCTTATATTCCTGCCGTCTCTATAATAACGTCAATCTAGCAACAAAAGACTGAGAAAATGTGCATACCGTTCTTACCTGAATAACCTCAACTATATGTGTAATGTATGTTTTATTTATAAAGTGCAGTGTTTTTAAATTTATTTTCTGTACCTGAATACCCATTTATTTCAATCTTTGTTTAGTTGTTTTTTTTTTTTTTTTTGTTGTTCTTTTTAAATTACTGAGTGTTTTTCTTTAATAATACTTGAAATGTATATTACTTAGGCTAGTTGTTTTCTGCTATGGTATTTTTAAACAATATAGGCAGACATTTTTTGTGTACGTATTCTTTAGCCTGCTGATTTTTTTGTTTTTTTGTTCACGGTATTCAGCTACAATGAAATGTTTTGCAATAGGATGAAAATTAGATTAATGTAATATTAGATTAATGAAATGAAATGAAAAGGAAAATTAGTAATGTAATGAAAATTACATACTAATGAAAATTAGATTAATGTAGACTTAGATTAATGTGAATAATAACTAAGTTTATTTCTTTATTGTAATCCATTAGAATTGGAATCGATACCCAACCCTAATGTTTCATTCCCTCGCACCTCCAGAACTTGATTTGGATTTAGTTTAAAACAAAACTAATTCATACCTTGATCCTAAGTCATTGCTTGTAGACAGATAATAGTCATTTGATTGATATGTCCTGGTTTGGGAGATGGACATGGAGATTACGCATCAGATGTTGTAGTTTGAGGTCACTTAAAGGTGGGGTACATAATTAAAAAAAAAAAAAAAATTTCTTCATTTTTTCGAAATCACTTGAAATCCTATTCCTAACCCACTTACAGCCACTGAGTTAGAAGCACTGAAATGAAAATTAAGCAATTTAATCATCTGTGAAACGGGCAAGACTCGAAAAACTCCAGCCAATCATTTTCAAGACCACCAAGAATCATTGGACCGAAAACACTGTCAATCAAACGGTCGTACCATAGTCCCCTCCCCCTTCACGTGCGCATAGCTTGTGACCCAGTGACAGTAAGTGCAAGTCGCCCCGATACAGAGAGAGAGAGTGTGTGTGTGTAAGTACAATCTCGTACATCTGAGTTTTGCATATGCATGATTGTGGGTCATGTCCTTCGAATGGGTGAAGTCAGGGCCAGCGTTAGAGGAAAGAAGGTAGGACATTTTGAGTTCTTTATTTTGAAAAATCTCCTTGCCGTTTTGCAAATCCCATACCCTACCTTTAAGGCCCAGGTTTACTTAATTTCCCTAAGTATACTTTGGGCTTCACGCTACTCCGATTACACTGAGAAATGAACTCCTGAAGAAAATTGAAATGAGAAGGATGATTGATTTTTCATGTTTGGGGGAATGATGTATAATCCCGCTGACTATTTGATTATGTAACTCTTTTGAATTCGCTAAGTCACATTGCACTGCACGATTATGTTTATCAGCCATTATGATGATGTTATGGGGAAGGCCAGACTGAGCAATAAAGTGTTTTGTAGTCTGAGGACTCCTGGACTGAGTTGAAATTATCACCAGGCCAGTAGATATGAACGTGTGACATTTGTACGGTACTTAACCTTTATGTGTCCAGTATGAAATGTACCGAGTCAGAGGACGAGGACCCAACTAAAGGCTCCGAGAGCCAGCTGCAGCTCAGCTGCTTCATCAACCAGGAAGTGAAATATCTCGCCACTGGACTCCGACTGGTGAGTGGACCGTCCCGTACACACGAAGAGCCACCAGTGCTCACAATCCCTGTTAATATATTGTCCCTGTCTCTCATTATAGAGGCTACAGGAGGACATCACAAAGTTCTCCCCATCCTTACAAAGAAATGCCCTCTATATCAAATCGGTATGTTTTACCTTTTGGCATTTCTGACTCTTGTGTTGTTCAAGCGTTTTCTCTTTCACACCAGAATAAAACGGTCACTTTTTCTGTTTCAAGTCCAAAATCAGCCGTCTCCCGGCATACCTCACGGTTCAAATGGTGCGGTTCTTTTACAAAGAAAAAGAGTCTGTGAATGCCAAAGTCCTCAAGGTAGGTCTTTCACTGAGGAGGGGTTTGGGATATCAGGTGTCGTCAACAAAATATCTATAAATTGATTTTCATCTTGCTGCATTTAGGATGTCAAATTTCCTCTTATGCTGGACGTCTTTGAGCTGTGCACTCCTGAACTTCAGGAGAAGATGCTTCCTATGAGGACAAAGTTTAAGGAGGACGAAGACAAGAAATTGGAGATGCAGCAGCAGCAGCCGAAAGCAAGTGCCCTGTGACGTCATGCTTGAACGCGTCCTGCTTTTTGAAAAGCCATCTAACATTGTTTCTCATTCAACAGGCGATTCAGAAGGTTGGGGCTCCAAAGGATAAGAAATATGAACCTTTCTGTTTTTCTGAAGGTGAGCACTCACTGCAAAGCTACTAATGTCCACGTGGTTCTGTAGGTTTAGTGTGCAGATTGATGTATGAGCTTCACGTCTTTCTTCTCTACAGACTTGGGCTCAAACAACAGCGGTTACTACGACCTGCAAGCGGTTCTGACGCATCAGGGCCGATCCAGTTCATCTGGCCACTATGTCGGCTGGGTTAAAAGGAAAGAAGGTTGTAAAACGTACTTGCATAGTCTTTATTTTTGCCTTCGCAACTGTAAACGCGACTTGATAGCATTCTTTCCTAGTGTTGGGTAATGTTACTTTTACAAGTAATCCATGATTACAATGTTTCATTATTCCCTAAAACGTAACTTAATTATTTGAGTTGTTTTTTATAGAAAGTTATGTAGCTACTGTTCCCTCTAAGCTACGCACGTCAAAATTACCGTATTTTTTTTTTTTTGCACTATAAGGTGCACTGGATTATAAGGCAAAGTCTTATGGGTTTCGAACGACACGAGGTTGAATAATTAATGACAGAATTGACACTTTTGGGTGAACTATTGATTAGTAGTTTTAATCAGGATTTGATTCCCCTTCTAATGCTCGAGTGCTTTGCTGTATCTGGTATTGATACCTCACTCTCTGTGAACAGATGAATGGGTGAAGTTTGACGATGACAAGGTCAGCGTGGTGACCCCGGAGGACATCCTGAAGCTGTCTGGTGGAGGGGATTGGCATATAGCATATGTCCTTCTGTACGGCCCCCGGCGTCTGGAAATACTGGAGTAACGGCGTTTCACGGAGGAAACTTAAACCATAATTGCCATTTTCAAAGCACTGTCTGTATAGATGTGCAAATAAATTTGTGTCTTTAAAAACACGACCTTAATTTCTGAACTCTTCATGCATCAACTCAAGTGGCGTATCTGTTAAGGGTGTTTTCCCCCTTTCATGGATGGTAGATTGATGGACCTGATCCTTTTTATTGGACTTTTTTTTAAACGTTTTCTATACGCATTGAATATTTTTTAAGCCTGTGAAAAGGTGTTCATGCTCAATAGACAGAATCCCACCACAGAAGTAGTGACTCGGTATCTAAAGATGTTCTTGGCCACGAGTTTTGGACATGTAAATGTGAATTTGGATCTCTCCAAAAGGATCGTGTGTCTGAGCGATCAAAGGTGGATTTCATATCAAAGCACTTTGAGAAGATGTTGTTCTGCTCGATTACTGCTTCTGTCTTCTAGCTGCCATTCAACAAATGCCACTGTAATCTTATCTGTCCTGAAATACTCAAATACAATCAAACTAAGAGAATTTACCTCTGTAATAAGTTATTGTTTACTGGCTTTTCATAAACCGTGAAAACAAATAAACATGCCATTAACACCCTTGTGTGCATTTTACAACCAAATCTGATTCATTTCAAATTACCATTTATTTAAAAAATGTAAAGTGAACAACTCATCCAAGTACAGCAAAAACATATCAAAGTTAAAACGGAAGAAGAAAAAGGTTATGTTTCGTTGAGGCTATCTGTGATGTTCCTGAACCCAGCGGTGTTGAGGGCCGTGACCAGGCACTCCATCGTGGCTTGAGGGCCTTCTCGGTCCTGCCAGGCCACCAGCAGCATCTTGGCCTGTAGCTCGACATCCTCGCTGTCAGACTCGATCACGCGGATCTCCTTCTCGCTCATCTCCAGCTGATCCGCCAGCGTCTTCCACCGGGACCCGAGCTTGCCTGCGATCTCGTCCATCTGACTGTTGGTCACCGCCTTGCTCCGAATGCTGGGACCTGGAGAAAGAGCATTTCACTTTGAGTCAAACTAAACGTTCATAACATGCATCTCAGGGGGTGTTTTACACCACACCGTTTTTATGCGTTTTCACAATGGTGTCGTCTGTACGCGGAAAACTCAAAGGAAGACCTTTTCAGCTTAAGCGTGTGAACATACCCTCAAATGAGTCTCATGTGACCACTTGTAACTGGATTTCATAATCTACTGGTACCTTACTTCCACCGACTCACTGAAAGGAGTTCTTGGCCCAAATGGAGATAAGGCAAACCACTGGCATCCATATTGTCTATGTGCATTCAAGGGTGAAGCCACAAATAGGTACAGACCCCTCTTGTGATCGTTAGGTTTGCAGCCCATAGAAGCATATGGTAAAAAAAATAAGATTTGTGTGTTAGAGTAAAATTGGGAGTATCTTAAATCCTTTACCTGTTTGAAGTGTAATGCAAATGCGAATGCGTTTTTATCGCCTATAAACAAGTTCTGAGTTTTGAGATTCTTGAGTCGCCTATACACAAGTTCCAATTCTGAGATATTTCAAATTAGATTTTTTATAAACTAAACGTCTTACTGTATGTTCACACCTCTGCCGACAGGCCGCCCTGTCAAGGACGCTTGTCAAAAAGTACGGGGAAGGTTGTTGACGCTTTGAACGCTCTGACGTTGCAGGGAGAATAGAAGAGTCACAACATGAAATGTAATAAACAGAGAAAAAAAACAAACAATATATAAAGAAACTTTTTATAGTGACAGCATTTTTATAACCGTTTTGGTCACATTTGGTGGAGAAAAAAATAGTTAGCTTTTATTATTATTATTTGTGGCCAAATCGGTGTCACCGTGAGCAAATTAATTGCATTCCCGCTTTAAAACTAGCGTTCGTAAATATTTCAAATAAAAGTTGCGCTCATGCGGTCCCTATAAGCAAACAACGTCATGTCATAAATGATACCAAACCAGTAGGAATCACAGCAACAGCGATTATAAGCTTCTCTTGCATTTTCTCTGAACGAAAGTTTACATTGTGTATTTCTCCGGAATCAGCCAGCGCAAAGGACGTCTATATTCCGATTGGTTGCTGGTGTTTTGCTGTTGCTTGCCACTGAACCATGTCTCAGCTCATTACCATAAAGTTGAGCTTCTTTCAAATTTCTGATTGACGCTCAAAACGCCCAAAACGCAACACCAATGGATTTGCAGCTGAGAGAAGTCAGCTTCCACTGAAAATTAATGACTTCCAGCCGCTTTGGAAGCTCAAGTCGGCGACGGTGTTAACGTACCGTTAGACGATTCATTCCATCGTGAAGTTGGAAGTGCCATAAAAAAAAAAATGGCGAATGGTTTCCACGCTTAAAAAATAAATAAATAAATAAATTCTTTCCTTTGAATCCTCGCTTGTCTGGCTTATGTTACTCCAAGTATTGTCTAACCTTTGTATTTTGAGCACTTCTTGTGTTGTTTTTGCCTCTTCACGATGACTCGCTTGGTTCAGTCCTCAGTTGTAAGTCGCTTTGGATAAAAGCGTCTGCTAATTGTAAATGTGAAGATTGGCTCAGATCATTGTGAGGCCATGCTGGTGAAAACAAGTTTATTGTATAGTATAGTGTATTGAGATGAAACTGGACTACCTTCCATCACATGCATGACCCGAGATGCAGTTTTGGAAAGGAAATTAAAAAAAAGGCAAAAAATAAATAAATAAAAATAAATTACAAGACTGGACTTTTCAGATTTAGTGCAGCATATAGAGATAAACGACACCCGAATTTCATTTTGAGTTTTTTTGGAATTCTCACCAAAAATAATAAAGCTTTATTTTACAAATGCATTGGTGTGTCATTATGAATTATGGTATGTTCCCGCCACCAAGCCCTGAAGCAGTGTTCCCCTACCCAACATGACATCATGACTTTTGCGTAAACATACACGCCATTTTCAAGTCTATACGCATTTTTAGCTATCCGCGTGTATGTGTGTATGTCTATGCAGTTAAATTTCTGAGCGAAACGAAGCAAAATGTAGATCTACATCTGGGGAGCGATATACTTTTATAATTTTTTTTCTCCCAAGGATGGTAGGGGAAGACTGATGTTTCCCCTACCCTAGGTTTGGAGGAAGGCTTTCCGCTATGATTACCATGAGCTATTTGATTGTATCATGTATTTTATGTTTTACTAATAGCTGTTATTTCATACTGCTGACATAGACAGATATTTACCTTACAGACTGTCTCACTGCATTTACATTTATTAATATAAAATGGATAACTATGGCTATAGGAAGCCTAGGCTTGCAGCGCCACCAAGCCATATGTAGCCATAGTTATCCATTTAAAGCGACAAATCAAAAATGCATCATTGGTCCAACTGACTTCACTGGCATTCAGTGTCTTCAAGTTACAAATGATGACAGTCGTGTATCTTAAGAAACATGGCCGTCATTTTGATGGCAAGATGTCTAAATAGACCTGATATAATTTAAGCTCTACAACTGAGGTAATTTGTTCTCTCTGCTCTCCTCTTTCTTAGGACCTTTTCACTAAATTCACAGGAGACAGACCCCTAAAGTACAAAGTGAGGTGAGCAACACCATTCATTTTGCTGACTTCTCCAGTGTAGTTGTTTCCAAGCAACAGCGACCAATTTTGACAATGCCGTTCGGATCCAGAGTCCGGTGTGAACACAGATAAAAAACGATAAACTTTTGAGGTTTAATAATAAAAAACAGCAACAGACTCACTGTCATTGCTCTCTTTCAACAGGTTATCTCCATTCTCATCGTCATCCTCCTCTCCCGTTTTTATCTCCTCAGAAGGAAGGTCTTTCTGTTAAAAGAAAAATACAAATTCTGTCACATTTATGCATTCACAAAATACTAAATATTTGAGTGAAATATTAAGCAAAATATTTGAGCGAGTCTGCGTCAAACTAATTTAAAAGATATTATACGTAGTCCTTCACTAACACGGGCATCCTTCATAAATTTGAGCAAAAAAATATGTGGAATAAATGTTTTTCTCCAAAATATCTGCAAAAATTGGCACAGCTGCAAATCCTAAAGAGTAAAAAAAAGATGAATTTGGGATTAATTGCCATCGTTGCTCCCCGTTAAACTAGGGATGGGCGATAAATTGCTATATTGTTTTTCGCTATTCCACATACGTCTCTAAATGATCAGGTGTGTATCGCTAATGTGTGTCTGCATGCAAGTCCCAAGTGAAGTGGCACAGTTTTGTCTACACACACTCACCATGATTATTAAGTCACACATGAATGCTTGTCAATAATTATGAAATACATATATTTCTTCAATTATTTTATTAAAGGTTAGTGGATATTTTGAATGAAAAACCCCATTTTCCATGGTCATACAGTATTTACCAAGGGCGGCAAAATGTGTTGACGGCACTGTATACGCGTCACATAATAGAGGCTTTTGCACAGGAGGAACATGTTCCTGTAACTGAGTTCCTGACAGCTACTTGTGTGAAAGCCCCCAAATATTAACCACTGAAAAGGCTATATTGGTCAAGCACGAGTTCATCTACATGTTATCTACATTCCGCTAGTGTTTGATGAGGTGGATGTCCAACTCACAGGAAGCTCTTTGGCCAGTTTGATGACCATGTTCTCCAGATAATCTGCCAGGCTCTTGAACTGCTGATTGGTGGGCTGAAAGAAGTGAGGACTCCTCCTGGACAGCAATCGCAAGGCTCGCCAGCCGTAGTTTGAGTTGCGCACAACTCTGAGGGAAGACAAAGGCTTCATGAATTCTGAGGTATAGTTTGTAATCATTTTGATTTAAGAGAGTAAATGATGAATGTACTTGTACTCATCCTCCACCATGTTTGTTGGATCTGCCTGTTCAATAGCTTCAACAAAAAACTCCTCCAGTGATGGCATGAATTCCCTTTAAACAAGACATGTATTAATGCTAAACGTCTCGCATTGAACACCTCTGAGCAAGCGTTTACCAAACACACACCTGCTTTCCGACTTGCAGGCCTCCATATTGTCCGGGTTCAGATTCCAGAGTCTCGTGAGTTCGTCACTGTTGATGGTCAAGAACAGCAGAAATGCTAAATAAGATCTGAATCGAAGTCTCGGCAAAGTTGCACAGTAATCAAATATCATCTTACTTTCCCATGATGATTTTCCGATCAGGACCTTTCCCCAAAAAGTCCTCAGGTGCTTGTCTCTTTCGGCTGGGGCGGATGGGTTTGGTCTCCGCGGGTCTGAGAGAAACAAACATATTCATTCATAACTTCAAAAATAGCAGAGACCAAACCTGCAAACTATTTTATATCCAATACCTCTCTTTCACAAAGCTTGGGCAGCCCTCATTTTTCCAAGAGTTCCAGTTATCTTCTGTGTTTAGGATGTGCTGTTTGGAGACATAAATTAAGATGACATGAAAAAGCTTTTGGAGCCCAAAGATGCATTTTCTTCAATAGGGGACCCTGTATCACAAAAACGCATGTGTATATTTGCGGCAAAAGCCAACAATACAGTCAAAATTATTGATTTTTCTTTTCTGCCAAAAATCATTAGGATATTAGGTAAAGATCATGTTCCATTAAGATATTTAGTAAATGTCCTACCATAAATATAT